TAATGTTTCGTTAGTGATCAGACGGTTTAGTGTTTTGTAAGGGATGTTACGGTTAAGTGTTTTGTAAGTGATGTGACGGTTTAATGTTTCGTTAGTGATGTGCCGGTTTAGTGTTAAATGAGTGATGTGACGGGTTAGTGTTAAATGAGTGATGTGACGGTTTAATGTTTCGTTAGTGATGTGACGGTTTAGTGTTAAATGAGTTATTTGACGTGTTAGTGTTATGTGAGTGATGTGACGGTTAGTTATATGCGATTGATGTGACGGTTTAGGGTTAAATGAGTGATGTGACGGTTTAGTGTTAAGTGAGTGATGTGACGGTTTAGTGTTAAATGAGTTATTTGACGTGTTAGTGTTATGTGAGTGATGTGACGGTTTAATGTTTCGTTAGTGATCAGACGGTTTAGTGTTTTGTAAGGGATGTGACGGTTAAGTGTTTTGTAAGTGATGTGACGGTTTAATGTTTCGTTAGTGATCAGACGGTTTAGTGTTTTGTAAGGGATGTTACGGTTAAGTGTTTTGTAAGTGATGTGACGGTTTAATGGTTCGTTAGTGATGTGACGGTTTAATGTTTCGTTAGTGATGTGCAGGTTTAATGTTTCGTTAGTGATGTGACGGTTTAGTGTTAAATGAGTGATGTGACGGTTTAGTGTTAAATGAGTGATGTGACGGTTAAGTGTTAAATGAGTGATGTGACGGTTTAGTGTTATGTGAGTGATGTGACGGTTTAGTGTTAAATGAGTGATGTGACGGTTTAGTGTTAAATGAGTGATGTGTCGTGTTAGTGTCAAATGAGTGATTTGACGTGTTAGTGTTATGTGAGTGATGTGACGGTTAGTTATATGCGATTGATGTGACGGTTTAGTGTTAAATGAGTGATGTGACGGTTTAGTGTTATGTGAGTGATGTGACGGTTTAATGTTTCGTTAGTGATGTGACGGTTTAATGTTTCGTTAGTGATGTGACGGTTTAGTGTTAAATGAGTGATTTGACGTGTTAGTGTTATGTGAGTGATGTGACGGTTTAGTGTTAAATGAGTGATGTGACGGTTAGTTCTATGCGAGTGATGTGACGGTTTAGTGCGTTGCAAGTAATGTGTTGGTTTATTCCGATGTTGGTGATTGGTCGGTTTAGTGTCACCTTATGTGTATATGGGTGATGTTACAGTTTAGTACTTTGCTAGTAATGTGTCGGTTCGATGTAATATGAGTGATGTGACGGTTCAATGTGTTGTGAGTAATGTGAGAGTTTGGTGTGCTCAGGGTGATATGACTGTTTGGTGTTTTCTGTGCCCATTGCCATACATTGCATGTAATCTGCGGAAAGGTTGAGAAATACTCAAAGATATTAAAACCGCCTTAAAATATGAATCAGTGCAATGTTCTAGTAATTATTAAGTGCAGTACATGTATATACATTGGTTATAACAAATGATACGCGTACTCAGTCTATTGAAATAAATTAAATTCTCTCCGAATGAAACTAGGAATTAAAAATGTATGGAATAATGTCTCTGCTGAATTACTTTGGTTGATGGTCATTTTGATTGCTCCTTGCCATAGAAACCTCTGCCCATATTCACGCGAAAAAAGACCGGCCGCGTAATCAGTTGTACATGTGTTCGGTACGTAAAGAGGATTTTGATATTTATAAATGTTTTTGAAAGTTTCAGGAACGACTTTTTAGAAATGAAAAGATAAATATCAGGACTTTTTTTATTTCCTTACGTTATTTATTTGTACACATATGAGGCCCGACATGTTTATTTTGCTGAAGCAGGTAATGACTTGCTTCCGTATGTGTCACATGGTGTGACTTCCGCCTTTCTGACAGCTTTATATATAAACTGATTGAACATAAAACAATGTGTTTTTTCTGATGACTTCATATTTTGCACATTTTCGTTTTGACAGAACTGATGACCGGGCCTTGTGCTTGCTGTTGATGACACATTTTATACAAATATCATTGTACGGTAGCACTATACAAATGTCACTTCCAATATGGCCTCGGATGACGTAGTGGAATATTAATGACGGTCTATATTTACGACAGGGAACATTGTTAGCATGCTGTACAACTGCACGCTGCTATGATTAAAGGGAAACAATATTTGTGAACAATAGTACTTCCTTAGAAACCATATCATATTAAATTCCGTTATTGTGTATCTGTCAGTCTATAAACGTTGGTAAATCACCTTCCGGTATTGTTATGCTTAGGTTTCTGCGAAATGAATTATTTACTGACATCGACCTGTGATAAAACACGTTTTTTGGCGACATTTTAATAGACATCGAGACTTAACAATTTACGCGGATTCACATCCGCTGATTTAATGCTTCGACAATAGAAACTGATAATATAACTCCGGTTACATATTATACATTTAAGTCCCAGGAGACGGATTCTAAAATTGTCATACGTCTGTAGCCATTTCTCACTAACGTTTCGCCAGTAATGCAGCGCGATCAGAACCGCTGTACCGTTATATAGGTTTAGGGTGTCGACGGGACCCATTATACCCCCGTCACGTTTCGTGGTTTATTGGCTAAGTGTTAAGGTTCTGCACGCTCGTTTGCTACTGACTAAATATTCACTTTGCAATATTTATCTGTAACAGGAGTAAGCTGCGTCAGGGGATCCTGTTTATGTTTTAAATGTGTGTGTGTCTCTGTAACAATATAATAACTGAGGACCGCTATCGTCTTATTGAAATACAATTATATTCTTACACCAAAGTCCACCTTTGTCTCATTTTTTTCACGCATTTCAACATCACTGACGGATATATATGATATATATATGTGTTGGGTGATGCGTTTGATGACATTTCTGTGATACATCTTGCACAGATATATCATTACTTAACAATGGAAAACGTCTAGCACGGCGAAACTCAAAAACTTTATTATTTTAAAACACATACGCAACGTGATATTCCTATATGTATGTTCAAATTAAGTGAACCCAAGTTTATACTTACATTGACCAAGTTTTTGTCGAGGCATGCTCTATTATAACAGAATCGTCCTAGCTAGCAATTGTTACGAAATAGCAGTTTCTAAAAGATTAAATATTTTTTTATCATTATATTCAAATACAAATTAGCAGCATACGAAAACTGAATGCCGAAGACACCACTGATCAGAACCTCTTCCCACTATTTTCACAATTCATTGGTCCCAAAATAATGAATACTCTAACACTCCAACGTTAGTTTTGGATTTTTATGTCCGATTTTCTAGAAGAAATCAAAGAGACCAGTTTTAAATGTTTGAAATTACACCTACACACAAAAATAGAAGTATTTTTCGTTGATTTGAACGCAGATAAATTGACTGAAACTATATCTCCCAAAGCATGTGTTACATGTATAACCATCAGACTTCGAATTATATATATAATCAAGTGTGAAATAAAGGTGAGGGGAAGCAGGGTTGCTATCAGGAAAGGGAAGGTTCACGATCGAAAATCGAAATTGACAAGCTGATCAAACGGCTTAGCACTTGACCGTCATTGATGGTCATACATGAACTGAAATGAAACAACCAGAAATGATTAAAACTTTTAATATTTATATCAAAATTTGATAAAAACTTATTAAACATTCAAAAGAACTAAATCTATTTGGAAACCTTACTCCGTTTTATCTGACTGATGAAAGACAAAAAATAGCAGGGCAATGTATTTGCTGGAAATAATCGTCCGTCAAGAAAAACATTTAGTTATCGCGTGGATTGAAGATAGTTACCACAGTATCCTTTAGTTTAAACAAACCACCATCTCCTTAAAATATTTCAAGGTTACTGACAACAATGTTTAAATTCGACAAGCTGTCAGAAGACAAAAGGGACTGGAAAACAACTGTCATACCTAATTCGTTCAGCACGTGGGAAATTTCCTTTTAACTCCGAAATAGAAAATGTTTAAAATGTCACAAATAATCTATCCTGAGGTCGTCGGCATGAGATTGGCTGGGGTACATAATGCACCGTTAATTCTCCTCAACACCGCTTGGTCCCAGGGGAACTTCCATATAATTTCCGTGTTAGTTTTGTTAAACGTCACGATATAAATTTTGAAATACGTTAAAAGCGAATGAATGACCCATTTTGCCTCAAATAGAGCAATTAGTTCGATACACTTTGAAGTAACACTGAGTTAAAATAAATGTTTCCGAGAACGCGATTTCGGCTCCGGTTTGTGCTAGTGTTGGTTCGTGATATATTCTCGTTTGGTGTCTATTGATACCTCCCGTATGAACCCAAACTGTGCCATTGTGTGACGATTTGGTAAATAGTTCGTGTCTTACTGCAGATAGTTATTGCTAATTTAAATTCAAATTAATTACACAGCAAAAATGGCTCTCACAGATACTTTAATTGCAACTCTTTCAGATCACTAACATGATGATACGATTCTGTTATTTACCTGTCCATCGCTTTAACGCTATAAGATGTGTCATCAAACCACAAAACTAAACATTTGTCCATGTTCGTCTTGAGGAAAATGTTTATTGCTTGTGTCGCAAACATAATACAATGATTTTATTTATAACGAATTTAAATTTCTACAGAAAACGACCAGATTGCATTACTTTTTTTTTTTATCTTATATGAGTCCGCCGGGTGTTTTGTGAATATCCGTTTTTAGATAATTGATTAGGGACTGAGTCAATATCACAGAGGACACTGAGTCACGACCGCTGCGTAAATGATATGACTGATTACACACCAGCTGGACGGTAACTCTGAATCATCAATTTTACGTCATTGCGCTTAATATTGAAATGTTTATAATTTCTAAGATAGTACAACCATATATTTATATTTCCCCCTTTTTATGACCGTTGCCAACTGCGTTCATACAGCGGCACTACCGTGAAAGTCAATCCTTGTATATGCACCGGTTATGTTAACATACCGGAAATAAATAAATAGAATAGCTTTGCATATCCCAAAATATATACTATATCCTTTTGCAGGTTGACAACTTACAGATTTGGTTCCTAGGTTCCTGACGGAGCACTCGAGCACGGCCGAGTCACCAACATACGCTGTCACATTAGACTCCATATCGTTGAACATTGGCCGCATGTATCGCACGGCTTCACTGGGAAGGGCTGCAATAAAACAAGAAACATGAATCAACAAGTCCGGAAAATTCCTTGGGAAACGGACAATAAAGTTTCGACTTCACGTGCGAAATAGTCTCTATATTGTTGAATTAGCAGTTTTCCAGAGGTGTAAAAATACGAAAAATGGCGACTGCGGCAGTATTAAGCAGTAAGAATAAACAAATAGGATATATATAGTATACAAAATACCATGTGTGAAGTAAACAAGATAAAGTATACAGCGCGAATTAAGGTACATAGCGAACCAAATACAACGTATATTGATATAAAAACAGTATTGTACAATCTAAAAACAACCCATATACAGTACATACAATGATTAGTACACTGCATACAAATAATGCTTTTCACATTGTTACAGTGGAATCGGGTTATGTGTTGGTGATTTAGGGAACGGAAGCTTCGAGATAGTCAGTCGATAGATTGAAAACCTCAAAATGGAATCAAATACTGCATCAACTGAACGGTTTATAACAACTGTATTCAACTGTACACAGTACGTGTTCAAATGTCACTTTCTGTTAGACAACAAATATTAGTTACCGGGCACAATAAACTTGTGTAGAAACGTATAGTTACATGTAAATAATACTGATGTATAATGGTATAACAGCGTCTACTTATATAGTCACAGTTGTTGTATGCTCCTCAAACTTTCCATAAAACATCAGTCACAGTAACATTTGTCATGTGATCTTGCTAGCATTGTTAACGACGTAGTTAAACGAACTGATTGACATTAGTTTCTGACAGTCCTACGTGTATGAACTGTCTTTGCGAATTTTTTTAAATGACTTAATGACATAATTGAATGTACATGTAACATGAACACGCTACACTGAAGATGTATCAACCGTTGCTTGTGTATATACTGGCAAGTGAATAAGGAGACAACTATAAAGTTTGATTTTTTAAAGATATAACCCTCCCAAGTGGCTGTGACTGTCTGATTGAAGTCGACGACGTGTGCTACATATACTTCTACATGTTACGGCGAGATTCTCTCCTCCATAGACAAATACATTATTGGCGAAAAAATATGTATTTAATATTTCATTAAGTATCAATCACGGTTTCTTTTTTTCAATAACAGCGTGGTTTTTTCTGTTATTACAGTGTCAATTGTATTGATTGTGACTGTAAATGGCGAACTCTCTAAGAAAACAACCTATTTCAATCTAGTATAAGCCTTTAATTACCCCTCTAATGAATCCTCACTTGGATTTATAAATATCGGTGTTCCGCTGAGAGGAAGTCGTATTTCCTAGTACTGTAAAACATTCACTGTCTCCCAGGAGAGAGATTATTACATTTCCTCAGACGCGGCAGTCCCCGCCGATTCCTTATAGCGTTTAGATAAGAATTAAGGGAGTATTAAATAGTTCATTTCTATTTGGTTTTTCCTTTACACAGACGGTAATTTACGTCTATTCCCATCATCGACTGTACCACATGTTCGCACCTTTCCATCATAAAACCAACAGATGCCGGCGGTGATCTCCGATATCAATCGAATGTCAGGAAGCATTTATAGGTCCAGCCAAGCGCTAAAACGCTATAATGACGAGAAATACATGATGAGGCCGTTCAAAGGCGACACATCAACTGATGTACTGTTACGTTTGTGCTTGGAGGTGAATGCTAATCAAACATAGTCCATTTGTTTTATTAGAGTACCATAACATTTCAAACAAAGACACGTTTGATACTGCATGCGATCACATACCCAGAAAAAAACCTGAAAACACAGAATTTATCATACAAATGTTGTCAAACGTGTTTGGAGAAAATCCATGGCAAATTGAAAATGAAACTTGATAGTGAATGGTCTTTTTATTTTCTTTGGAAAAATACCGTTTTTACGCTCTGATGCCAAAAGATACCTCTGAAAATAAAACGCTTACTTTTTTATGTATCACATCGTTATAATATTATTCGTGCTTACTAGTCGATCCAACTACTTCCGGTGTCACGTTCTGCACCTCCGGTGTAATTTGCTGGAAGCTATATTTGTGTGGAGGGGAAGCCGTTTTGTGGCTATTAATTCTGACAGCTATACAGCATGTACAACAAGGCTGTTACAGGGAGAAGGTGCCTGCTAATTAGCAGTAGGTGAAATCGTGTCTACTTTGCTCACGGCGTTCATCTCTCAGCAGCATTTGTCTGTGACAGGTGAGACCTTTCTGTGAGCGCACCGGTGTGGGCACACAGACCAGGAACTAACAGAACACCAATTGTCAGCGTGTGTACACAAGCCGGCAGTACAAACCAACATTGCTTAAATAGGCCATGTCCTTGCTACCATTCTGTGAGTACGAGGCATCAGCGTCCACTGTAAGCTTGACACAAATATATATACAGCAACATAGCGATGCATATCATTGTCCCAATGATCGATAAATTCACAACCTGACACAACTTTATATGCTATTTAAATTCAAGCATGTCTTCGACATCTCGGCTAGCCAAGACATACATGAAGCTGATCAATGCTTCGTGAAGCAACTTCAAATATAAAGCCAAACTGAAAGTTAGTCGTCTACATTCTAAAGGTAAGCATCAGTTCTCAGCTGTCAATTTCCTTCTTGCATTAAAACACCGATACCATAAAGCAGGAAACATCGGCTCAGTTTATCTCTCCCTGATACAGGCGAATGTTCATGGATCAAACAACACATATTATATGTAGTATTATACATGATAAATCCATGTGAAGAGTGTTAACACTGTGCTTATATAGAGTTTACTACTGAGGGGCGAACGCTTGACAGGGCACAGTTTCCCAGTATACAGTTCTTAGTTCATCTATACTACTTTTAATAACATATTTAAAGCATAAGTTACAAGATGTTTGCCCAACACAATGTACAGCCAGTAAAAACAAAAAACAGAATTACTGTTCTTGGTGATAGTAACTTGTTTCTTAAAATACGCTCTTACACTACACTGGTTTTGCATCATGTTCCTCTAAAGCACATTGCCTTCTCTCAGTTCCTGATTTATTTAGTAAGTATATTTCTGTTGCTTTAAATATATGTGTACATACGTGTTGGATTTGTTTTATCTTCATTTCTGAATTAAACGTTGTGTTTAAATAGCCCAAGCAGTAACATTTACAGCAATGCACCAGTTTGTACCAATTCAAGAAATGAAATTGTGCATTAAGGAATATGATACAACGCACCTGCTGTGTGTTTACATTAAGAACATATAACCAGTTTTGACTGTAAATCATACATTTACCTTCACCTACATTTGTATGTCCACGAAATAAATAATTGCAACCATATCATTGTATAACTTCAAAGTTAAAGAGAAAATACACGTTTTGTTTTATGTATAAACAGATATGCTAGACATGTACAGTGTAAGCTTGAATATGACTCATGTAGTACACGAAGCTACCTTGGCAACCATTGTAGTAACGTAGGTACCGTTGGTTAGAAACCCGAGTCATTTTACTATTAACCTGTAACCGCAAACTGACACATTGCTTTAGGAAATATTCAGGAAATAAAAATCTAAAGTTTAATATTCGAGATCAAAGCTAAAAGTCAGCTGTTTCTCTAACAGCGAAATTTGGCAAACTTCATAAAACGTTTCTTACTCGAGGGGAATCGTATTTTGTAACAGTTGCTTATATATGGGCTCAATGCCTATTTTGAAAAATTACACGATCATGTCTTTGAAGTGTTCAGAAGTTCTAAAGCAGACCCCTTTTTTCTACACTGAGTTGTGACGTGATAAAAACTTACTTTCTCTTGTTTTCTGAGAACATTCGCGTAATTACTTTTGATAGTTCATTATGCTGCTACCGTAGAATTAGATTTGGGCTTTATCGGATTGTCTTATCAGATTATCGACGGTACACGTGTGACGTTCGTGCACATGTCTTTATTGTCGAACAGGCACATCAAAACCGTACCATTTGCCAAATGCGACTTATATGCATCAAATACAATGGATATCACGTTAAAGCAAATGATCTTTAACCTGGCTTCAAACTGACATTATTAGAATGGAACTCGAGCTTCCAAGTTGGCAATAAGGTTCCAGAGTTGTTGTCTTACGTAACAATTCATAGACATGGCAGACCTGGCATTAAACATCCAAAGCACCAACGCAGCTTTAGTTCAGTAATCCCTGAAGCTCCAAGGCCAAATAGGTTTTGTAGCAACATCAATACTCAACGGCCTCGTAGACTCGACTGATAATCCAGATACACACAATGGTATGAAACGTTAATAAGATAACTTCACAGCGTGTGTTAGTGAGAAGAGGGGTTTGCCACTTTCACCAATGATATGAGGGCCGTGATACATTACCGACACTGTTTGATAAAGGCAATATGTCACAGCGACCGATTATCTAGCACAAAAAAAAATACATACAATTGTATTTCGCCTTCTTATTGCATTAGTCAAACGATCTGCATCTATCAAAATGTTTAGGTACAAGCCACGACAGTCTGCACAATCTGCACAATCTATAATAGGGATTGTCTTCCATATTTCATTGTTTATGTTCAATGAATCCGACCCGTGTTTTCTCCCTGTTATCATGTTTGCTGTCAAAGTCTACAAAGACCATGCTCCACAAATTGGTGTATTTTTCATTTTGTTTTATCTTAACACTGCGTGTTTATCAATACCATATAGAATCAATCATTTAAAATTATTCGCTTACCGCTGGTTAGCTAAAGCGATTGCCGAATAGCCTATAAGTCTGGCAAAGGAGGAACAAACGCGATTAAAAACCAACCGATGGACTCAATCACGTGATAATATGACACATTATACTGGCAAACCGATATTGACGAAAGCAATACAAAAATCATAAAAAACAGAATCGGTCACAAAAAAATTCAACCACACAAATTTAAGGGATACCCACATTGTATCTCAGTACTAATTCGAAATGTCGTCTTTAAAATTATCCCTGTTTAAAGGTCAAATAGAAAATTGTGTCTGGTACAAAGGGTTGCA